ATATATATATATATACGATACATGTATGTATTATATATACATACATGATGTATTATATATACATGTACCATGTTTATTATATATACATGTACATGGATGTATTATATATACATGTCATGTATGTATTATATATACATGTCATGTATGTATTTTATACATGTACATGTATGTTATTATATATACATGTAACATGTATGTATTTATATACATGTACTGTATTTATTATATATAATGTACATGTATGTATTATATATACATGTACATGTATGTATTATATATACATGTACATGTATGTATTATATATACATGTACATGTATGTATTATATATACATTATATATATATATATATATATATATATATATATATATATATATATATATATATATAGTGAAACTTGGATGCTATCTTGTGCTTGGAATCTCGTCATGCCCTTTATAACAGATCCTTGTGCCGGATCATGGGGTACAGTTGGTGGGGCCATGTGTCCAACCAACAGTTTGCACTGTACAGGACGTGTTACTTGCACAATCTGCAATCGCCAACTCAGGCTATACGGCTTGTGAGACGACCAAGGAAGTCGTGGCTTTGGCAGATCAGTCAAACCTATCGTGAAGAACTAGAGATGGGCCGGGCCCCTGCCTAGTGGCTCGCCATGAGGAACCCTCATCGGTGGAAGCAAAGGGTGGATGTGCGAGGACCTTAGCTCCCAAATGATGATGATATATATATATATGTGTGTGTTTGTGTGTATATAAAATATCTATATGTATATCTATATCTATCTATCTATCTATCTATATATGGTTAATGGTTAGAAGATGTCAAAGTTTGTAGAACGTTGTAGGATAGATCATTAGTGAAAATGATATAGAGGGAGGGTAAATGGAATACAGTGAGGATTTGTACAAAGATGTGGTTGAGTGTATAGGGCAGGTAACATTGTATGGGAAGACTGCAAAAGAGCTACTATGGAACAATCAAATGGTAATACGGTAAGAAATGATAGAGGAGGAGGATGGATAGGATTAGATTAGAGGGTGGATGAGGGAGTGAATCATTCTCTTGATTCATGTTCGTGTACTTTTGGACGGCTCCAAGAGTTTCTGAAGGGGAGTTGGGTGGGGAGGTCTGAGAAAGAAAGGAAGTGAAGAGGGGATAGATGTCCAAGGAGCAGAGGGAGAGGTGGACATAGGAGAGGATGTCTGGTGCGACTGGGGGAGAGAGGTAGTAGAGATAGGTTGTTTCAGAGTAGAAGGGAGAGGTATTGGGGGAGATGCTGAGACTTCTTGAGAAGATGGAAGGGTTAAATGGTTAAAAGCAAAAATAAATGTGCTAGACATCTAAGGTCATGTAGCACTATAGTAAATGTTAGTAAAGGGTGGTTAAGTTAGTGATTAGTTAACAAAGGGCAAAGGAATTGGTGAGTGAATGGGTTAAGGTCGGGTGAGGTAATGTAAAGGGGTTAGATTAAGTGAGGGATATTTATGTGTTTGAGAGGAAAACAGGTTGTCGAAAGGAGGATAGGTGGGGGGGGGGGGGGAGCAGAGCTAGGCTGCTTCAAAACGTGTGCATGATAATAGAATGTGTGAGATAGGGGTGGATCGGATTGCGACATCAGATAGGGGTGTGTTAGACGGGTGTGGAAAGGGATGCTTGTGATATAAGGGATTCATGTGTGTATCCAGGAGGGAGTGGAAGGGATAGAGGGGATGGTGGGAGGGTTAATGTGGGTGGGGTTGGAGTTGGGGGGGATGGGTTGTGTTGGGAAAGGGTAGGAGGATAGGGTGTAGGGGGGATATCGTTAGGAGGAGGATGGATATCGGCAGTCACTTGGTGTGTGGAGGAAGCAGGAGTTGTAGGATTTGAAGGTTGATGGGGGTCAGTTTTCATTAAGAAGTCTTGAATATTTTCAAGAGTTTCTTCAATGGAGTTGGTTGGGGAGTTTTGTGGGATAAAGGATTTCTTGTGAGGGGGGGAAGAGAACGCTGGTGTCTCAAGAGAGTTTTGGGGGATAAAGGATTTCTTGTGAGGGGGAGAAGAGAGGACTGGTGTCTCAAGAGTAGGGGCAAAGGATGGTGGAGGTGATTGTGTGGTAGGGGAAGAGGGGGTGGAACGTTTGTTCTGTCTGTTACGGGGAGTGCGAGGAGGGAGAGGGGAAGGTGTTGGGGTTGTAGTGGTGATTGGAGTATCTGTAGTAGAGATTGGAGTTTCTGGATTTAGGATGGTAAAAGAGTTTGACTGGGGAAGGTAGGTGGGGTTAGTGGGGGGGTTAGATGTAGGAGGGGTGGGTTTAGGAGAAGTGTTAGAATGAGCAGTATTACTGGAGTAAGGAGTAAGAGAGAATCCACGTCGACGTGCTTCCTGTCTGGCTTCACGCAGTGTGAGTCCGAGTTTGAATCTGAGAGTTGCTACCTCAGATTCAAATTTGTAGGTGGGACAGCCCCTATAAAATACATTATGGGGGCCGCCACAGTTGGCACATGTGCGTGATTGTGCAGAGCAATTAGATCGGGTATGGCCAGGTTGGGCACATAATGGGCATCTGGCTGTGGAAAGGCAGTGTTTGGCTGGGTGTCCTAGACGCCAACAATTTTGGCACTGACGTGGAGGAGGTTGGTATGGATGAACAGGGAGGGATTCGCCTCCTATGTAGACGTTAAAGGGAAGGTCATGTCTACGGAAGGTAATTTTGGCTATGTTAGTGGGTTTCTTTCGATGACCTCTGGGGGGGATGGAGTAGCATTGTACTGATGTTGCATCGTAGTCTGTGAGACAGGCAAGTAGATCTTCTCCACAATCTGACCAATCTTTGTCATAGATTGGGCAATTTGCTGGTGAGATTGAGACTGTTCCGGTGCAAGTATTGAGGGTTGGATGGGGTTCTGCTAGGATGGGGTTGCCATATAGGTCAGTTAGTTTTGTTAATGCTATGGCTTGGTTTTCGGATGTTACTGTTACAAGACGGGAGCGGTCGGGTCGGCTACGGAAAGAGACTTTACCTACTTGTTTTTGGAGGCATTGTTGGAAGAGAAGGGTGTTGTCAGAGTAGGGAGCTGTGGGAGGGATCACGAAAAATCGGTCCCATTTGGCTGCACTGAAGAGAGTATTCAAGATTGTTTTAGAGATAGGGGTGGTAGAAGGGCGAGGGCGTGAAGAAGATGGAGTAGTGTTGATGGAGGTAGTGTTATGGAGAGGTGGGCTATAAGGCTGTAAGGTATTAATAAGGGAGGATGGGGTGGTTGATGTTGGAGGTTGTGGGGGTAGAGGTGTTGAAGTTGGGCATGCTGGGAGAGTGGAAATGTTCCTTGAGGGTTGATTGTTGGCTACTGTACTAGTAGGCATTGGTGAAGGGGCAGTTATTGCAGTGTTCGGAGCCGTGGTCAAAGGAGAGCCTGGGGTCGGGGAATCGGGTGGGTTTACTTCTTTGGGGCTATTTGATAAAGGGGCAAGCCTCATTGCCCCTAACAGTGGGGATATATTTTCATTACTGGCCATGGTAAGCCTGGTTATGTTGGGGATAAAAACAGTCCACCCCTCAGGGTCCCCTTGAGGGGTAAGGGCTAGATACTAAATCAGGGGAATACCGTGCCCATGGCTCCCTCAGGCCGTTCAGGACTGGCACAAAGTCAGCCTTTCATCCTTTCAGCACGGCTCTCACACCTTAGGAGGTGGATAGCAGAAGGGTTTGGTGAAGGGACAGAAACAAAAGTGGGAAGGGAAAAAAAGACCATGCACAATTAGTTGAGTCGAGGGCTGAGTCCCAAGGTTGGGGAGTTCCCCATCATTGGGTCCCAGTCTCCGCCTCCTAAGCCCCCCCACGACAACAACGGGCAAGGAATTGGGGGGGGAGAAGATGGAAGGGGAGCAGAACAAAGTAGAGGGGAAATTACAAAGAATTGATCCCACTTGATTGGGGGTATAAGTATCAGTCAAAGCCATGGTCAAAGGAGAGGTAGGGGTCAGGAAACCAATGAAATCACATTTAGATAGGATAGTTGATGAAAGGGCAAGCCTTAATGCCACTTATAAGGGTAAAACATCTTCCTTGTTGGCCTTAGTGAGCCAGAAATAAATGAGGAGAGGAAATGGTCTACCTCTCAGGGTCCCCATGAGGGGTAAAGGCTAGACAATTAACCAAGAGTATACTGTGCCCATGGCTCCCTGAGGTTGTTCATGAAAGACACAAAGCCAGCCTTTAATCCTTTCAGCACGGTTCTCACACCTTAGGAAGCAGACAGAAGAAGGGGAGGATGAAGAAAAGAAAAAGAAAAGACCATGCAAAATCCCCCCCCCCCCACACACAACAATAATGAGCAAGGGATCAGGGGAGGGATATGAGTGGGAGCATGTGTGTGTTTGTTTATATAAAGTAATAAGAGAGCATCATAAAACACCAGAAATTAGGAAAATTAGTGAACTATTTCTACAAAATTTCTTTCTTTTATTTAAACATTAGTTATAATATGTATGAGGTAAGTGTTACTCTTTCATTGTCAGCATTTTATTACTTATTATACAATGTCGTTTCACACATACATACTATTTTTATTTAAAATAACACATTTACACTGCTCAATCATGAATGGAATATGTCAATCATGCTCAGTAATGGATGGTAACATAACTACTGACAAGCTATATATATATATAATTATACAAATATATAGAAGAGGCAATAACAATACCCCTACATCATGAAATAAGAAATATGAGACTTATTCTATTTAGAGTTCATTTGGCCTAATTTCATGCAGTATACAGTCAGCATGAAACACTTGTATTTGATCTAAATTAAACTATGAAAAAATATCCACATCCATTCTTCACACAACCAGCATTATCACACAGAGGAGAAAAAGAAAGATTGAACTGCAAAAATGAAGAAAAAAAAAAAATGTTATCAGATGAAGGCCTATTGCTTCAGTGACAGGTACATTTTCCCCGTCACCATCTGTTTTATGGGATTGATGCGCTTCAGGATATGGGCGATGGCCTGGACGAGTTGGTCGGAGCTCAGGCCTGTCTTCTTCTTGAGTTTGAATTTCTGGAGGAGTTCGGTTGTGGTCATGGGTCTGCGCATCAGGTATCGTCTGATAGCTTCCTCTGTTACGCCACTATCACTGTACAGGAAGATGAGAAGTGTACAATAAATGAAGAGAGTAACAGAAGTTTGATTTTACTTTCTCAATGGCAACCTTACAAGTTTTCCTCCTTTTTCCTAGTTGATAGGATATGTAGTTTTTTGTCAAAAAGATATTGCAAATAAAAGAGTCTAGGATAAAAACAGAGACAGACAGAAACAAAGCTGAAAAAGAATTAGACATTAAAACATTAACTAAGACTGAAACAGAAAAAAAAAAGATACAAGATAAATAGAAAGAGAAAAAAACAAAGACAGAGATGAGACTGAATCAAACACAGACACAAACCAAAAGAGGCAGAGAAAGAGAAAAAGTGAGACCATCCCACTAACAACCAAAGGGCTTAGATCACCACAAAACAGCAGCAGCCCAATTTTCCTCTTGTTTGATACTGCTCTTACTAACCTGCCGGGGGCCACCAGGGGAGTGGAAGATCCAGGTGTTGGGATGTCGGATCGAGCCTTCTTGGCAAGGCTGTCTGATGCGCCTGATTTCCCCAATTTACGCTTGCCAGTCCCATCTTCATCATTTTTGTCCTTGTCAGACCTGTCACCATTTGTAATTTAATTAAAAGAAATATTGGTAGGAATGATACTCTGCTGATATTTCTTTTCCCCCTTTTTTAGGCCAAAATGTCTTCAACAGGCTAGCGGATTGGCTGATGGTTATGTCAGTCAATCACAGTCAACTTGCTGAATGCATTTTTACCTTGTATAATTAAGGGTATAATTGATGTGAATTACTGCTGTGTACTGTCATAATTGTATAAGTTCTCAGTGTAATAATACCTGTATTAACCAAAAAATAATAATAAAGATATATTATCAAAGAAAGTAATGTCCTTTCTTTGCTTCACATCCTTACCCATCACCATGGAAAAATATGCCAAGTAAGCTAAAATACATTTCCTCTACTTACGATTTATCATCTTTATCCTTCTTTTTCTTCTTCTTTTCATCATCACTGGTGTCGGAGGTCTTGGCATCGGAGTCTGCTGCAAAGAAAGGGAAGATCAATAAATTAGGATTATTTCCTAGTGTAAATGAGTCTACTTAACCCATTGCCGCCGGGGATGGCATGTACGTACATGCCATGTCCACTGTGAGTCGACTTGTTTGATTGTTTTTACACATAGATGGCTACACTTGTACTAAGTCACCAATGAGCCAATTACGAGTACTGCCTGTCTCGCCTGTTCACCCTTTTCATCAGTTTACAAAAATATTTAACGTTATCCTAATTTGCTGTTAAAAATAACACCATCTATATTTATAGCACTAGTAAGAATACGTTTTTTCTTCCACCAATTCAAGGTAAGGTGAAATCAGGACTAGCAGAGCCATCTATGTACAGAGATATTTCACAAAAATATAAAAAATGAGTACAGCATTTTCCCCATTTTTTGTTCATTTTCCCCGGTGGCAATGGGTTAACCACAGGCCGCCGGGGAAAATGCTATCCTCATTTTAATTTTTTTTTTTTTGTGAAATGTCTTCAGCTAGTGCTTGGCCACAAAGGAGTCAATTAGTAGACCTTATGACCTTACCTAATTTCATCTTTCCTTGAAATGACAGATTTTTTTTTTTTTTTTTTTTTTTTTTTTTTTTTTTTTTTTTTTTTTTAACTAATGCTATGAATATTGAGGGCATTATTTTTATTATGGACGTTATAATCACTATACTTTTCTAAACAATAGGAACAGAAAAATGTAAAATATTTTCTGTAAATCAAGTTAATGGGTAAACAGGCAAGACAAGCAGTACTCGTAATTTGCTCATTAGTGACTTAGTACAAGTGTAGCCATCTATGTGTAAAAACAATTAATAAATTAAATTCGCAGTGGATATTGCATGTACATACATGCAATACCCATCAAGTTATGGGTTAATTACCCTTTTTTTTAATGTTCTCTAAACCTATTCATTAACATTAGTAAAATTCATTTGATGATAATCATATGAGTGTGATTTCACATACACATCCAAACACATATGCAAGATATATTATACATATATTTATATATATATATATATATATATATATATATATATATATATATATATATATATATATATATATATATATATATATATATATATATATTAAGTTTGTAATTCTCTGGGTATCTGCCAACCACAAAAGCATATGGAACATAAAACATCATGATCAAGCACTCACCTTGATCTTTCTTCTTATCCTTTTTCTTCTTCTTCTTCTTTTTCTTCTCCTTCTCCTCTTTCTCCTCCCCTTCCTTCTTCTCCTCATCCTCCTCTTCTTTCTCCTTCTCCTTCTCTTCCTCTTCCTCATCTTCAGAACCTAGGAGTTTCCTCAGGGCATCTGCTTCATCAACTCCTGCTAGCTCCTTGGTGACAACCTCATCATTCTCAGCTTCAGAGCTGATGGAAAGAATGGTGTTAGGTGGAGGGAGAAATATATATATATATATATATATATATGTAATAATTATCTTAAAAGTTGTTCCCCACATTGATAGCCAGCTTTATACAATATCACAAGACACAGGACCTCTCATCTAAAATGCATTTCTTCACAACTTCTTAGCACAATATCCTCAATAGTGCCATCCCCAACACACAATCTTGAAAATACAGACTTCATGGTATTCTTACAAACAAACAAACCAACAAACACACACATATATCACAAGCAAAATAATTTGGCAAACAAATATTGCAGAAATTTAGTACTTTTCTTAAAGAAATCAGAAGAAAAATTATTAAAAAAAAGAGAGAGAAAATATAGAAGAAGTATGACTGACAATCCCAACTTAAATAATTTAAAGCACAAACCCTGAATAAGCACTTTAGCCCTCCCCAAAACACAATCTTGTAAATATATATACTTAACGGCATTTTTACAAAAAAACACACAAAATTTACAATCCCACTTACTCTGAAGAATCACTTGAGATATAGTCATGCTCGGCCCCATCGTTGTATTCATCACTCTCCTCCAGGCAATCTTCTTCACTGTCTCCATCTGGATTCTTTTTCTTCTTCCCCCCTGGAAGACAAGAGATCGTGCATATACTTTGTCAAAAATAACAAGATGGCTAACCATGAAATAAATTGTGGATTTTTAAAAATTTTACAATATACTTGAGAAAAAACGGCTAAAAATGACAGGCTGCTTGATGCTTACCATGTTGGTGTCTGCCTTTGGACTGAACCTTCTTTTTCTTCTTCTTTTGCATTTCACGTTCTTCTTCATCAATTTCTTCATTGCTACCTGACTCATCATCAGACATCCAATCATCCATTTCTGAGAGTCTCAAGTCTGCAATGAATGACCATCTTGGGTAATATTGCTCCTTTTACACGCTTTTGATTCTCCTATTTCTTTAATTTCATATAATATATATATAATGTATATATATATATATATATATATATATATATATATATATATATATATATATATATATATAATATATATATATATAAAAATATAAAGAGAGAGAGAGAGAGAGAGAGAGAGAGAGAGAGAGAGAGAGAGAGAGAGAGAGAGAGATACTATACATATAGAGATATACAGATAGTCCCCTACTTAAGAACATTCTACTTACGCACATTCCGTACATACAAACTTTTTTTTTTAAATACTTGAGTCAAAAAAATTGTTTGAAAGATGCTAGCAAACTTCAAATTTCCAGGGGGGGAATATAGTTCATGAGTCTGCCACGCCGTGACGCCGCTGCGCTCACTCAGCTGTGCCATCACTCGCCTGCCCTCCCACCATAAACAAGAAAGCCTCTCTTCACTGTGTCCTTGTGTACCGACAATTTTTGTGCCATAATTCGCTTTACCTGTACATTAATCCATCAAAAATGTCGGGTGTGAAGAGAAAGATAAACGGTAAAGCCAGTGGAAGTCCCAAGAAACTTCAGGCTATAACTTTAACGATCTTTTCAATCAGTTCGCCAGCCAGTCACCCTACAATATATTTTCTTTTTGAATAAATTATGTTTCCACATTTAAAGTTGTCTGAATCACCATCAAATAATATTAAGAAACTGCTCGAAAAGTGGCATGTGGCTGTACACTGCGGCGAGCTAGTAATTCGGCCTGAACTACCGAACCGAGTTTTTTATTTGCCAGTCACCACTACAATATATTTTCTTTTTGAATAAATTATGTTTCTACATTAAAGTTGTATGAATCACCATCAAATAATATTAAAAGCATTACATGTTACAGGTACTGCATAAGGTATGCCGTACTTATTGGGATTTATGTACAGGTATTCCTAATGTAAACAAAACTTTAAAACAATGGGAAAAAAGGCAATGGAGACCCGACTTTCGACATACAGTCAAATCGACTTCCGAACAGCCTCTCGGTCCCCATTATGTCCATAAGTTGGGGACTTACTGTATATTGTAGAATATAATATAATATACAATATAATAAATATATATATAATATAATAAATATATATATAATATAATATAATACACACACACACACACACACACACACACATATAGAAAGACAAATAGATAGATATAGATAGATAGATACACATATATATAGGTACATCTTATATATATAAAAGAAAGAAAGAGAGAGAGAGAGAGAGAGAGAGAGAGAGAGAGAGAGAGAGAGAGAGAGAGAGAGAGAGAGAGAGAGAGAGAGAGAGAGAGAGAGAAAAAGAAAAATAGAAAGAAAAAAGATGTATACTAGAGACTAATTTAAAACAGTCATGAGTGTAATAAAAGAAACTGAAGTGCACTGCAGTTGAACATTTGAAGAACACTGCTATACACAGCATAAACAAAATTTATTTGTTTCTTACTCTTGCTTGAAGATCCTTTCTTCTTTGTGGCCTCTTCTCCTTCCTCTCCTTCCTCTCCTCCATCTTTCTTAAGTTTCTTCTGGTACATCACCGAGAAGTAATTCATAATTTTGTCGCGCCTGTTAAAAAAACACAGTCAGGTTATTTAGGGTCATCAACTGGCTTTTTCCCTGTTCAAAATCTAAGTCGTATATCTTTTTGAAAATATCTCTCCCATGATTGCCAATGCCATTCCAGGAACAAGACAGCAATTTCCATGTCTATCCAGTGATTAAAACAAAGAACTGATGCTGAGCCCTGACAATAACTCAGGTTGCCACGTCACTTGTCCAGACTGTTGAGCAACAGCAGATGTTGGACACCACTATTCTGACATTATTTTCATAATTTACAAATAATAATTCTGCATATATTAGTTCATATGCTTTATAAATATTAAACTCTTCAAATTATTGATCTAAGCTGTCAAATATTGGACCCTTCGTTATGTTAACTTACTGACACTTTTATTTTCTAACTTTGAATTAATTTGTCCAGGCAATACTGATGCACCTGATACCCATTATGAGAGAAGAAACACACAATAGAATATTTCTCATTTAATTTCTTTTCCATTTAACCCATTGCCAACGGGTGGCATCCCGACGCGCAAGGTCGCTTTCCCGGGGTGTATCCATAGTGGCCCGGGCCCCGCTGCCAGGGGCTCATATTGTCACCCTAGCATGCGCGACCGCTCATGCCCAATACCAGCATCCCTTGCCTTTTCTTTGTAATACTAAGAACCTATGTTGTACTTTCATTACTATTATTATCTAAGGTCTCTATTTTCCATTTTTTCTGATAAATCAAGACAGTAGGATATTTTTGTTGTTATATAGACTCCATAGTTTGATCATTCTTCGCTCTATAGTCTGCATAAAATAAGCAGTGTGTGGTATCATGGAGTTGAAACCGGTAGGTTTAGTTGTATTTCTTATGCATTTTTTTCAAGTTATTTTATAAGATAAACTTTAGTTCCAATAGGTTTATATTATCACTTCCATATAGATATAATTATAGGTTCAGTGTTTTTATAAATACGTGATTTTTTTTTTTTTTTTTTTTTTTTTTTTTTTGAACGTTCGTCCGTTCGTTTCTTCTTCTCCCCGATCCTTCGTTTGACTGACCAATTGCACATCTATGTCACACTCCTCAACCTCCACCCACTCCCGCAATACTCACAAGTACACGGTCGTACAGTAATCATTACTTATGCTCACGTACACAAACACACGCACAATGCATACACATCCACAGACACAAACACACATGCACGCACACTCTTCCACTCATGGCTCTCGACTCGATTACCGATCAGACACGTATGTATACGGGGCACGCACACGCACACGCACATCAACGCCGCACGGCACGCACGCATTACCCCGCCACACACACACATATATATCTGTATAGATGAGTATATATTGTCTATATCTATGTTTTTATCTACTATTGCAGCTATATATATATATATATATATATTATATATATATATATATCTATATATGTATACATAAATATATATATGCATATCTATAAGTATATATATATATATAATATATATATATATATATACACGCGACGGCTCACAATATTCGCGCGTCGCGGCCCGCTTACACACGCAATTTCTTAACGCTACCACGAAAGCCCAGAAGCCTATTTGAAATGCTAGTATAGGGAAAAAACGCGAAAAAGTGTTAAAACCTACATAACGACAATTTTCAAAGGAAAAAAATGAATATTTTACCATAATTGTAACAAAAGAAAACTCTGACATGTCCG